CAGAGGATCTAGAATGTGTTCAACTCTAATTTGACAATCCAATTTTCTATTTAAACTGGAAAATTATTTGCAAATCACTGGAAATAAATATCTCAATTCATGGGTGATTCATCCGAATGAACCTCTCTGGTAATAAACAAAAAAAAGTAAACTCAAAAGTACTTTCTTTTTGCCAAACCCTCTCCATATGTATCTCGTCAGCCTCCAAGGGGTAACTCCAATCTCACTTTTAAGACTGTAGCCTCCATGCACTTCTGTCATTTGCTCAGTCTCCCATGCATAAAGAATAAGTACCAGTGACACTAATCTCTGGAGGGAAGGAAAAAATAATCCTAAAGGCCTTCATTAGGTTCCCTTTCCCTTTCAACCATCAAATCTAATCACCTCCCCCCTTCATTACTCCCTGTCAGAACCGTAAGTGATAACAAGTTTGATTTTCACCAAATATATTTCAATTTCACTCTCTAACATTGTAGTAGCAAGGGTCTGGCAGAGGCCACAGTTTTATCTACTAACACTTACAATCAAAATATGAAGTCTCACCCACAGTAAGAATTGAAGACATACACGCTCTGATGCATTTTTCCCTAATTACAGAGACACTCCATTTTCTCACCTGAATTTTTTTTAGAAAGGTCACATACACAGGAAATTCAGATTTTACTTGAGTCCTACATATAAGTTTCATAAAGCCTTTTACCCATTGTTCTCTTCTTCCAACTCCAAAAGCTAAAAAGAACTTTTTCAAGGATATTTCTTTCTCTACAGTAATCTGTACTTTTCCAGTGCATTATCTCACAATCTACTGGACCTTTTGAATTTATAGGAGGCAAGAATATCACAAAACTTCCCAAAAGTATGACCAGAAATCTATGAGACCAAGAATCATGTGTCATCTAATTCACATCAAGCAATATCTGTTGATCACATACTATGGGCAATGTCCTGGGAAAGGCAGTGGTGAATATTAGACAACGCAGAGAATCATAAAGCAGAAAGCTAGTGTTTTCTTATTTTCTTAAAGCATCAGCCTCAGGCTGGTAGTAAGCAAAGGTGTCATTTAAGAGGTGTGATTGGAGCATTAGGGAAAAAACACTTCATGCAAAATTGCCTTCCTTACCCAGGTGGCACAGATTTGGGAATGCCAAGAGATTAGGCCTTCAACTTGAATTCTTCTATAATTCTCATTCAAAGCACCAGTGTCCCTGTTCAGTGGAGAAGATGGAGCTAAACCACTCTGATGTCCTTGTCAATCAAAGACATACATTTCCTTAATGAGAGAGCTAACCAGGAAAGTCCTAAGACCTTGGAACAGCATGGGGTCCACCCCCTTCCTCTCCTTGGCTCTCAAGGGGGAGAAAGTAAAGAAAGCCAGCATTCTGAGGATTGAAGCTATGGAAAGACAACCACATTTATATCAAATTATTACCTCCCCATGATGGCTTCCTGGCAGAGCCAAATCCCACAAACATACATCTGTTACAGGTGGCCCCAAGTCTGCTACTGTTTGAGATTTCTTCCTTCTTTTTTTCTTTTCTTTCTTTCTTCCTTTTTTATTAAACCTCTTTTTTTTTTTTTCTTACCTGTTTTGGAAAAAAACAGCATAGAGACTGTTTCAAACCATACACTCTCTAGCCACCATGTGGAGAGACACACACTATATTTTTCGAAGATTATAAAACCTCGTTCTCAGTTGGCTTCTTTGTGTCTTAGTTTTTCGCAAACTTTTGATATTTTGTCTTATCTTGAGACTAGCTCCACCTTTTCCTGGTTCATGCAAGATTATTGAGGTCACCCAACTTCAAAGTTCCACTCTGTGACTCAAATGGTGAAGTTCTCCTGTGTGTGAATGTCTAGGGGATGCCTAGGACGAAGGAATAATACCCTTCTGTAAGGTGATCTGGGCTAATGACAATGCCTCACTCTTTTTACCGTGAATACCAATGGTGATTCAGCATCACAGGCAGCCTGATAATGTCTCTAAAAGGCATCAGTGTTCTCTGAGATGCTTCCCAGGTATCCTGTTGCAAGATCTAAAATGTCTCTGAACTGAATACAGTTGCCCAGTTTGTCCTTGGTGGTGCCAGAAATGCTAATCGATTTCACATACATTCCCTGGATAGCAGTGGAAATTTTCTGTTTCAAATCCATCCAACAAGAAGTTAGTTGTGGGAAAGCCTGTCTGTTCCACACCAACTCTCCCTTCCCTTCCCTTCACCTGGTTGAAACCACAAGGGGCAACTTCCTGCCCTTGACCGCCTAATGTAAAGACACCTGTTTGGGCTTGTGAATAAATCAATTCACGTGCAGCTGCCCCAACCTAAGGATTTTAGAAATAATCTCTTTTTCCTTGGAACTCACCAAGAGGCACCTTTAAGGTGATTCAAGAAGTGGACTTCTCTGATGCTCACCCCCTGCCCCAAACTGGACAAGTCCAAACATACAAGGCATGAAAGGGAGAAAGGAGGAAAGCTTCATGGAAACAGACTGTAAATCTTTCAGGGGAGAGCAAACAGAAGAATCGGGCAACCAAAGAGGCATTGCCTCCAGACAGAAAGAGGGTCATCTGGGCTGCCTGCAGGCCTGGAGCTGTGGCCACGGCAGGCATTGTGGCCAAAAGGGGGGCTTTCGCAGGTCTTCTTAAGGTTGGGAGCAGAGAGAATCTCCCTTTTCACTTCCCCAAAAAATGTATTTGCTTGGTTGAAAGGCCAAGAGATATCCTTCCACTCATTAACCAAATCTTCGCTTCTAGTTAACTAGTATTGTGTTTGCCTGTTTTCTCGTGTTTAGTCACCAAACCCAGGAGCTAGTCTGATGGAGTGGTTAAGTAGATTCAAATCCCAAACCCATCACTTACCAGCTGTGTGACTTGGGGAAATCATTTAACTTCTCTGTGCCTTGGTTCCTCATCTATAAAAGAAGAATGATAAGACCAGTACCTGCCTCCTGCCACAGTTGGAAGGCTAAATGTGATAAGCTGCATAAAGCATTCAGCCCAGTGCCTGGCACATAGTAAATGCTCAATAAACATTAGCTGCTATGATTATTCCCTTGCTATGATCTTGCAAGGGAAGGACAGAAGTAGTCAAAGCATGGACCAGACAAATCATCTTCGACAGTATTACTCTACAGAACTGCTCGTCTTGGTTCAAAGTATTTCTGTCTGTCTCCTCTGGAGGCCAAACATGATAATGGAGGAGGTTCCGTCCGAGGTGAAGGACACCCACCAAAGGGCTGGAGGACAGCATGTGTTTTCACTGGCAGGCTGCTAACTAGCCAGACCTCTGGAAAGTCACAACACCCACTTGGCAAAGTAGACGCTGTCTGCCTTATTGAAAACATCTTAAGAGTATAATAAATAAAAAGCATTTTGTTTCCATAGTTTGAACTTGTAATTCTGTTGGCCAGGAGCTGTCAAGGAGAGAAGATTAGTGAGTGCAATAATGCTTAACAAAGTGGGGCTGATGAAAGAAGAGCTTCAGCCAGTAGCCCAGCTCTGAACAATAAAACACTTTTAATTGGCACAAAGCAGGCACTTCCCAAAAGGTCCTGGGTCCTGACAGGGCACACGTCCCACAGTTTGGGACCAGAAATGTTTTCCAGAGACATCCCCACCCTGAGGAAACACACAGGTCCCGGTGTGTTTCCAGACTGTGTGAGGTGGATCAACAGCGGTGGAAATTCTCAGACCTGCCAACATGAAAGGCAAGCACAAACACTGCCCGTATGAGACTCTGGGAAGCCTGGCAGGTCCCCAGTGTTCATGCAAGATCATGGTGCTGGGGCCGTGCGGCCGTGGCCTTCTGAACTGGCAAAGGAAGTGGGCTGCCAGAAAGGAGTGGGCTCTGCTGATGCCGGCCACAGAGCCCACGGCTGGCTGGCGCAGTCCAAGAAACGCTGTTTGGAAAGTGGTGGAGGAAATGATATATGTGGCTTAACTGGGTGGAATTTTATCACTGACCTAGAAATCAGTGCCTTGGGCAGCTCAAGAAACAACAGTTTTAAGAGCAAAAGAGAACATAAGGACCGAGGAGCCATGAGTCAGAGCTGCAAGGCTGGGTCTTCTGTGGGTTTATATACCGGGAGGACAATGACCAGACACACTACATGGTTCACATCCACACAGGGTCAAGCCGGCACGCCTTAGCAATGGCGGAAGGTCCAAAGAAGGACCACATGAGCTCAGGTAATCAATCATCTTACCACAAGGATTCATGCGTTAAGAGCCAGGTAAGCTGACAAGCGGCTACAAGACGGATTTGAGTTTACTGTGACCTATACACGTGAGTTCACCATCCAACCAACAGTGGATTTAAAGGATGGGAAATTAAATGCAGAGGGTGGCAACAGGTCATGAAAGTAAAAGGAATTTAGTCTTGAATCTCAGATGATACCAGTTTGCAAGATTAACTGGGAAGAGGTGCCATTTTTTCACCCAGTGTCAACTGAATCTCTCCTGGTTAAAGCAAAGCTGTCCTGAGGATAGACAGTCTCCATCCTTCATTCTCAGTTTCTTAGGATAGAAGATTAGCCACGTGTTCCAGTTGCCCTGCTCCTTGTAGATATCACCATGCTGCTTTGCCACCTCTGCCTTCTCTATCCCACCAGTACCTCCTCCAGGACCACCTACGTGATCACTGTCATCTCTCTCCCACTGTCACTTCCACTTCCGCCACCACCTCCATCTTCCCTGTCATCACCTCCACCTCCAACTTCATTTCTACCTCTACTATTATCATCAGCAGCTCAAACAGCCCCTCTACTACTACCACCCCCATTTCCATTTCCACCATCACCTCCACCACTATTACCACCACCTCCACCATCACCAGTTCCATCACCACCCTACCACCACCACCATCATCACTGTCTCCATCACCACCTCCCCTCCATCTCCACGAATACCCCTTAACACCACCACCACCACCACCACCACCACTACTATCGCTTCTACTACCTCAACCACCCTCCACTACCACCACCTCCTCTCACCTCCACCATTAATGTTTCACTCTACTTTCACCACTACCACCTCTGCTTCCATGAACTCCACTATTGTCACCTCCTCCACCTACACCATTTTCTCCCAAACCACCTCTACTTCCTCTACCAGCACCATCTCTATCCCTGCCTCCACCACCACCATCACCACCCCCATTATCTCCATTACAACCTCCACCAACTCCAGCAACACCTCCACTTCCACTACCAATACTACTACCTCCACCATGACTTCCTCCGTCAGCTGCTCCATCACCACCTCTACCTCCACTTCCAGGGCCACCTCCACCACTGTCACCACTTCTGTCATCATCACTACCCCCACTAACTCTACCACCCACCAGCATCCCAAGCCATCACCTCCACAACTGTTGTCACCACCTCTACAATCACCACCTCCATCATGTCATCACCTTTGTTACCACACTAGTGTATCTGTAAGCCACGAGCTAAGGGAAGTATTTTATAACCATTACCTTTATTTAATTCCCACAGAAACTCTATGAGGGGGAGGTGGGTATTCCTTTTCCATTTTACAGATGAAAGTCAGAGAAGTTATGTCACTTGCTCCAAATCACACAGATACAAAAAAGTAAATGCAAATTTCTGTTCCAAGTGTGTCTAAGGCCACGTTCTTGTGTTCTATTGAATCATGACCATTCTCTAAGAAAAAGAGGAAAGTAACTATAAGCAGAGTAAGTATACTTTCTCCACATTATCTGTAAGGGCACAACAGAATGAGTTAAGTATTAAGGGCAGAGACATAAGGATGTGGCTCATGGATGGCCATCCCCATCCAGTGCCCAGTACAGACTCAGCCTGTGCCTAAGACAGGCTTCTCATTATGAGTTTCCCTTGGAGAAGAGTCCAATGTGTCACCCAGAGAGTCAAAACTATCAAAAATCCCTGCTTTTTTGTTTTGTTTTGTTTTGGTGGGGTCTGTGGCGGGCCTCTCACTGTTGTGGCCTCTCCCATTGCAGAGCACAGTCTCCAGACACGCAGGCTCAGCGGCCATGGCTCACGGGCCCAGATGCTCCGCGGCATGTGGGATCTTCCCGGACCGGGACATGAACCCGTGTCCCCTGCATCAGCAGGCGGACTCTCAACAACTGCGCCACCAGGGAAACCCCCTGGTTTTATAATAATGTAATTCACCTCATTTCTTTAAACCAAGATTTGTTTATTTCAATGAAATTAATGGACATTTTGAAATGGAAAACATATTTCAGAAATAAAATAAAATAAAACATTAAAATACATATGGTGGCCATTAAGATATATCTACAAGCCCATACACTGTATAGTGAGAATAAATGGCTCATTTCCTTAATATGTGTGATCTTAGTAATTACCACTTTAGAATATTATATAAACTGGAAGAAAGAGAAATATCATTATTGTTTGCTTATCCCATAATATTTAACTGACTTTAGGGATTAAAAAACAAAGGACATCATTATCTTTGCCTATAGTCTCAAGTTATCTTCCAAATGATAAACCATCCCTATAGTCTATCAATCCTAAAACCCAGGCAGAGTCATTGCATGAAGTAGTGGAAAGAATCTGAACTTCAGAGTCAAGCAAAACTGAATTCTTATCATAGTTTTGCTCCTTATTAGCTCTGCTACTCTGGGCAGTTTATTTAACCCAGAATTTCCCTGCTGGTGGGCTGAGGCCCACTGTGGTGCTGCATGCCTATAACATGTGTGCCAAGATATTGATGTCCTCAGCCACCGGGGCAGATTGATTGGTCTTCGGACCCATAACCTCAAGCCTCCTTCATTTCCCCCAGTGGTCAGGATAACTAGTGTCATGTTCCATGTGTGCCATGACCTAGAAAACATTCAGAAGTGCTAAGGCCCTGTAAAGCTCAGGCCCTTCGTCTGTGAGGTGGACAGGAGTACCCCATTCAGAAGGCGACTGTCAAGATTCATGAGGGAAAGAGCTGGGCTCAGGAACCCACAGAGCTGATGCTCAAAAAAAATTCAATACATCAGGCTCTGCATCTACTTGACTTTTATTATAATTTCTTACATTACAATCAGCTCATCAAGAAACGGCATGGCCTGACCCTGGGTGTTGAAGAAGGTGAGGAGACTGCACTTCTTTTGGCTGACGGCTAGACAATTATTAATTTGGCATCCACTGTGCACAAAGTACAGCATGGCTGGGGTACAAGAAACATGCTGTTTCTGCACCATATTGACTCCTATGCATGCAAGTTCTTACCAAAATGTTAATGACCCCCAAATTTAACATCTTCATTCTTGATTTCAGTCCTGCACTCCAGGTCCAAATTTCAGACTTCTTTCTGGACACAGCTACATAGATAACACACGAGCATCTCAACTCTTCCACCTACCATCAACCCTAACCAAGCCTCCTTTGCTCCCATCTATCATCTGGACTAATGGCATCATCCTCCAATGGTTGTTCAGGAGCACAGCTTCTATCCTCACCCTTCACCACACCATATACCCCTTAATAACACCACCCTGACAAATTCTGGGATTCTCCTTTTACAATACCTCAAACATCCTTTACACCCCCACTGCCCCAGCTCAGTCTCACATTATTTTTCCCTGACCTATCATTATATTAACCTTCTCAATGGTGAGTATGCCTTGGATCCCTCTTGATGGCCATTAATTCTATAGTATTTTGGCATTTAATGGTTTGTAATGAATGAATCATCCTAAAATATGCATGTTGTGTTTGAACACAAATTTTCACTCTTCCTTATATCCGCACCCTTTAAAATGTGACTTTGCAGCTCCTCCATCAAGAAGGAAAAGTTAGCAAAAATAAGCAGGTGAGACTAAATTAGACTAAAAAGCTCTGCACAGGGCTTCCCTGGTGGCGCAGCGGTTGAGAATCTGCCTGCTAATGCAGGGGACACGGGTTCGAGCCCTGGTCTGGGAGGATCCCACATGCCATGGAGCAACTAGGCCCGTGAGCCACAACTACTGGGCCTGCGTGTCTGGAGCCTGTGCTCCGCAACAAGAGAGGCCGCGATAGTGAGAGGCCCGCGCACCGCGATGAAGAGTGGCCCCCACTTGCCACAGCTAGAGGAAGCCCTCGCACAGAAACGAAGACCCAACACAGCAAAAATAAATAAAATTTAAAAAAAAAAAAAAAAAAAAAAAAGCTCTGCACAGCAAGGAAACAATCAACAAAATGAAAACCCAACCTACAGAATGGGAGAAAATATTTGTAAATCATGTATTTGATAAGGGGTTAATACACAAAATATATAAGGGACTCACACAACTCAATAGCAAAAACAATTTTTTTTGATTAATAGAATAGACATTTTTCCAAAGAAGACATACAAATATCCAACAGGTACATGAAAATGTGCTCAACATCACTAATCCTTAAGGAAATGTGAGTCAAAACCACAAGTCACACCTATTAGGATGGCTTTTATCAATAAAAACAAAAAATAACAAGTGATGGTGAGGATGGTGATGGTGAGGATGTAGAGAAAAGGTAACATTTCTACACTGCTGTTGGGACTGTAAACTGGCACAGAGACTATGGAAAACAATATGGAGGTTCTTCAAAAATTAAAAATACAACTACCATGGGATTCAGCAATCTCACTTCTGGATATATAGCTGAAGGAAATTAACTGCATTCCCATGTTCATTGCCACATTATTCACAATAGCCAAGATATGGAAACAACCTAAGCATATATTAGGATGAGTAGATAAAGACAATAATACACATGTGCGTGTGTCTGTGTGTCTGCGTGTGTATCACTGCTCTGCAGGAAGATGAGGCCAGGAGAATAGAGATAAGCTTCCCCAGTGGATGCCCTCCTAGACCACCCTGCCCCCAGCCAGCACAGCCACTGGTCACAGGTAGATGAACAAGCTCAGCCAAGACCAGAAGAACCACCCAGCAGAGACCAAGCCTAAACTACTGACCCTAAGAATCAGGAGCTAAATAATAATTGATTGTTGTTTTAAGACAGTAACTTTTTTGGACTGTATTAATCAGCAAAACCTGGTACACTTACCCCTTTTGAGATCCTCCATTGTGGGGGAAACAGACTAAAATCAGTCTGATATGAAAGTACAATACCCCTAGTGTGTCCCAATTTGTCTTTCAAGGTTTATCTCCTGTTTTTCCCATATGTAGACCAGTTGCAAAACTTGTCACTTTCCCAATTTTTCCATATTTGTTTACCCTTATTATTATTAATTATTTTTCTCTAAGTTGATTTATACCTAATATTGTTCTTATTTAAGCTTCTTTCTGACTAACACTATCTAAGCAACCATAACTTTAATAGACTAGTCACATTTTTAGAACATATTAAAAAATAATTCATAACTATTAAAATGAATATATACACATTAAAACAAAACGTTGTTCATCAATCCAAGTCCTATGCAGTATATTCACCAGAACATGATAAACATTCTGTTTCTCTCAGACTTGTTTTTTTTTCATATGGCTGAATTCTCATTTAGATGGTGACCCAGTGTATGACAGAGACCACTTTTAATTTGGTGTCCAATTTGTCATTAAATGGTTCTGAACTTCAGGTGGAACCAGAGTTTTAAGAACCTTGAAATTAAAACTAAGGAATTTGATTCCTGTGGGAACTCTTGTATCATGAGTATAATAGACTAAACATTAGGGAAGACTGGAAACAAAGGGACCAGTTAGGAAACAATTTCGTTAGTCTAGGAAAGAGACCAAAATGAGAGGTAAATGAGAAAAAAGGTAAAAATGACCTGAACTGAGCTGAACTGGGCAGTGGAGGAAAACTGAGTGTTGATAATTTTTAAAAAGTGTCAGTAGAGGGAATCAACCATGTGTGAAAGATGGTGAAGGTAATTCTATATGTTGTTGAGTTAGAGGAGTGAAAAACATGAAGGACCTGAAGATAACTTTGAAATTTGGGTTGTGATATAAATATATGAATAAGGTTAACATGAACAACGTATTTGGTAGATATGCAGGTGTTAGAGAGGTAAACAATGGTGAAGATGCTGAGTTTTATTTTAGATGTAATTTCTGTTCCAGGACATAAGCCTAGTATTTGACAAACAAGAGGATAAAGAAAATAGTTTTTGAGAAGAATTGACAGAGCAACTCCAGAGAGATGGCTAAGATGGTGCACCACGTGGGTTTGGTCTGATTTTGTTTATCTGGTGGCATGATTTTGCATTTCTTCTTCAGAATCATCAACTTTTGAATGAAAGACCAATTTTGGTTTTCTATTTAATTTTTGTTCATATATCAAATTCACCCCAGATCTATGAGCACAAAATATATGTTTGTCAGTGTAAGCCCATGAGAATCTGGGGCTGTTTGTTATGTGGTATTAC